CCGTGCTGACCTGCACTGAACCTGACCCCTTCTCTCTAACTACAGGAAATGTGCCTGATGTCATCTGCCTGGATTTCGGCCTGGGCTTCAGAACTGACTCAGGGCTCCACGGCTGGGGCCACTTCCTAAATCTCAGCACATTGCATTAGAGACTGTAAACTCTAATCCTGGTTCTTCAGCCCGTGACTTTCACCGGATACTGCCGAAAACCTACATAGCACTCTTGACCGCCAAGCCCACCAACGGAGACAGCGAGACAACTGCACTCCTGCCACTTACCTGCCCTGTGACCTTGGGCACAGCAATTACATATCTGATTCATTAGTTGTCTCATTTATGAAACAAATTCAGTAGCATCAACTTCAGAGATATTATAAGGATTAGATGAAAAGATATATGCCATCATCATCAATACTCAAAGTCATTGAGCATTACAGTGGGCTATGAACAATTTATATGCAAAATATCGATGCCTGGTAAAAATAACAATAAGAAAAGTAGCTAACATATATTGAGTGTTTTCCACCTGCCAGACACTGTTCTAAGTATTTCATGTGGGTTATAGGACCTAATCTCCAAAACAGACTTATGAGGTTGGTACTATTATTAGTCCCATTTTACAGATGAGAACACTGAGGCTCAAAGATGGTAGTAAGTCCCCCAGGGCTCTAGTATACGCAGGTGACACTGCTGGCTACACTAGTTACTCAATAAGCAATCATTATTATTTTGTGTTTGTTATTATTATCATTAATCTTATTTGCCCTACATATGGGATAGTTACCTCTAGCTCTCATTATACTCAATTTATCCTGTGGTAAATCATCTCCAAAGAAGACTCCTTTTGCCCCCAGTGATCCGCACCTCCCAGTATTCACACCTTTGAATCTGGACTGGGCTTTTAGCCAATAGAACACAGTTCAGGCGATGCTCTCTGACTTCCAAAGCTGAGTTGTGAGAAGGCTTACAGCTTCCTTTTGGTCTCAGAGAACTGTTTTGCACGAGTTGATAAGCAGAGCACCCTCTGCCTTCCAGCCCAATGTACAGATCCCAGCACGCCTTGAAACAGAGGGCTCATTAGCTGTATTTGGCTTTTCACTATAGTTTATATAGCTAAACATCTCTTCTAGTAGTAACAAAATAATTTATTTTATTTTATTATTTTTAATCTTTTCAGTCACCATTTATACACCTTGTGGGTAGAGGAGGTGGAAGAGGTTATAGGGTGATAAATGGTGAATGAAAAAATAAAATAATAATATTTATTGATCTTGAGCACACTATTTAACTATCTATGCTTCAGTTCCCTTATCTGTAAAATAAGAATAGTAAAACAGTAAGAATTCCTAGGTTCAAGGTTGCAGTAAGGAGGAAATTAGTTAATTCATACACGATGCATAGAACAGTACCTAACATTTAGAATACGTATACTCAGTGACAACTCTCTCTTTCCATCTTTCTCCAACCCCGACCCTCTTAGTATCTCTTCCACTATCTTTTAACAGAGGCAGGCATTTACTAGGCTTTTAAATTTTAAAACCTTAATTCTCACACTTAACCTGAAGGCAAGTGTTATTATGTCACACTGCAGATGAGGTGAGGGGCTTACATAAAGCCCGTTGGCTGATCAATGATGGAGCCAGGATGTGGACCCCGTCTGCGTGTGCCTGTAGCTCTTTTCCTCTCCCACTTAGCCTCCACCACGCTGCTGCCTGCCTGCCACTCAAGTGAAAATCCCTGTGCCACATGTGGTAGTGACAGCATCTGCTTGGTGGACCCGTCCCCCACAGAGTCTGGCACACAGACAAAGCACGGCCTAGCAGTCAGTTCATGTACAGATTCCAGCTGGCTCCGCTCAGGTGGCCCAAGATCCCCTGGGTTAGCACCTCTGTCTGACAGTGCTCCCAGGCAAGGAGGTGTCCTGCCTGCCGGTGTGAGAAATGCTCATTAAAACCCTCGATTCAGATGTCAGGAGCCCTCAACCAGCAAGGAGGTGCAGCCTCAGACGGACCAGCACAGGCCAAGTTTCTATGCCCCGTATTCCCCAGTACCCAGCATTCAATACCCCTTACGTGAGTGTGATAGAGTGACTGGCCCAGGTGCAATTCCAGACATCCTCTCCAGGTGAGTGGAAGAGGGATGGTATGAGTCGGGCAAGTTTTCTCGCCTCAGGAGGAGAGAAGGCAACGCTGCGAGTTCCTTCTTTGACGGTCCTGGTGGAGGCAGAACACCTCAAGCCATCTACACCGGACAGCTTGCACAGGAAGTGGGCCTCTGTGCTCAGAAAAGTGAAGGGACTTGCTCGGGCATCACAGAGCTTGCTAACGGTAGGGCATGATCTCAAATTCAGACCCCTGGTTTTTTCTAGTGTGCCTTCCGTCACCCAAAGCTGTCCCTCCCGCCTCCCTCCTCATGCCTGTAGCTCCTCTCCTGGAGCTCCTGAGCCTTCCCTATACCTGGCATGCCCTGGGTGCTCTGTGCTCTATGCTCTGTGCCTGGGCCTTCTTCTCACTTTCCATTGATGTCTTCCCAGTGTCTTGGGGTCTTTGGACCCTTCACTTTATACTCTAAGGTGACAGCCAGCAACACCGCAGGCATGTCCATTTCAAACCTGGTAATGATTACCCTTTTCCACCAGATGTGCATTCAGTGTGGTCAGTCCTGGGGATGCACAGTTGCTTTACCTAAGGATCTTAGCAAAAGCCTGATGGTGTTTATGCTACATTATATCTCCCCACAATTCCTACGTTCAAGTCCTCACCCCAGTGCCTCAGACTGTGACTCTGTTTAAAGACAGGGTCTTCAAAGATGTCAGTGAAGTTAAACAAGGTCACTGAAGTAAGCCCTGATACAACAGGATGGGAGTCCTTAGAAGAAGAGGCGAGTAGGACACAGACACACACAGAGGGATGGCCATGTGAACACGGGGAGAAGACACCCACCAAAGAGAGGCCTCAGGAGAAGCCAGCCCTGCCGACACCTCCATCTCGGACTGCCAGCCTCTGGAGCCGTGAGAAAATCAGTATGCTGTTTAAACCACTCAGTATGTGGTACTTCGCTATGTCAACCCTAGCAAGCCCTCTATATGGAGTTTTCCTGATTGCCAACAGAACTCCTCACTCCTCCTGGAAAACACATCTTTCGCAGCACCATGTCCGGTGGGCATTTCGGAGAGTCTCCAAGGGCCCACAGCAGGTCAGCAGGTCACAGGACAGGCACTGGAGGGATCTAAGTGGGATCTACTTCAGACACTCACTCATGGTAGCTGCTGGGACATCTGTGGCATATGACAAGGAGACCAATTTGAGACAGAACCTCTTTCTTATCCCCTGGTTCTGCAGCATGGTGGCAAGTGAGCAACTGCCAGAGAAATTCTTTCTGATTCACAAAATAATTATCACACATCCTGTGCAAAGCAATGGGCTCAGAGTTGAAAGGAGCAAAGAAAACAGGGATGAGCACAGGCAAGTGTAGAAGAAAGAGGTTTTATAATGGGGAAAAGACAGGAAAATATGCTGACCGAGGCAGGGCTTTTAGGCTCATGGGATTTTAAAATAAGGAGCCTTCTGTATTGGCTGGTACAATCTGGGAAGACTTCATGAAAGAGGCAGCATTTGCTCTGAGTTTAGAAAAATGAGAGTAAAACGGGTGTGTGGATACAGGTATTTGGGATGGACGGAGACTGTTTAGACAAGCACAGTGATTTTTAAGTTGAGCCCATAGAGCATGGGGATTAAGAACACAGTATTTAAATTCACAAAGTCGGGGTATCTGGTCTCTTCCTCTTAGGTTAGGGTTTCCACACCTCAGCGCCACTGACTTCTATCCCTGCTGCGGGGGCCACCCTGTGCGATAGCACCTCCCCCCCGACAAGACCATGAGAAATGTCCTCAGACAGTTCTAAATGGAAAAAAATCACCTCCCGCTGAGAACCGCTGACTTTCACACTGTAGTTTTAGACCAATCACTTCACTTCCCTGAGCTTCGGTTTTATGGTCTCTGGGCAGAGGGTAACACTCCTATATACTGATATGTGGCGGACACAGAATCTCCTCAGCGAATGTGACTTAGCCTCAATCATTTTAGGAGCAGATCTCTTTCCAAATGACATTGAATGTGGAACCTCCAAACATGAGGTGAACGAGGGCACAGCTGCTGCTTCGGCTGAAGCAGGGTGGAGAGTAACCGAGCCTGTATTCTGCTCTTCCACAGCGCCGATGTGGAAACCCGCAAGCCACAGCCACAGAAATCCCCAGACGCGGCTAGCTCCTGAATGCTATGGGAGATGGACCCTGAAAGGCCTGGATGTGAATTCTGGCTCCTTCCCCCCGGGCCCTGAGAGAGAAGACAAGCGCTAAATGCTGTCTGGCTTGTTTACCCTGTGTGCCATTCATCCGCACACCTGGTACATCAAAGGCAGGGCTGAGACTAGGGTGAGACAAGTGAGGCATCTGGGCATTTAAGGAGGCGCTCACTCTCAGGTGGGGACCCTGCACTCACAGGACCCGGAGAGGGCGTGCCCCCTTAAATATTTCATGGCAGGTGCCTTACTTGCTTCACTCTACTCCTGCCTGATCAAAGGACCTCAGTAAACAGTTGACTGATTAATTAGGTAAGCCAGTTTCTTCACCCTTAAGATGGAATCCTAACATCTGCTTTTCCAAGTAGTTTTAAATTGAAAGAGAAAATGCATTTTAAGCAACCAGAATAATTTCCTATAGCAGTCGGTTCCCTTCCTCAGTCAGATGGATCAGACAGGACACAGAGGCTGAAAGTTCAGGGTATAGTCAGGAAACAGTGAGAAACCTGTTGTTTCAGTGCAGCCAGAGCCAGCAGGGGAGAAGCCAGGGACCGTCCAGAAAACTGTCGGTCTGGATCACGCAAAGCCTCTCTGACACCCCCGAACGCATCACCTGCATTGCGTTTCTCCCTGCAGCAAGCAAATACAAGCTAGCACCAGGTCCAAGCCTGCAGAGGCAGTAGAGGGAGCCAGTGCTTACCTCTCTCTGGGCAGCTGGTGGTTGGGATTGTGGCGGCAGCGGACGCTGAGGCCGAAGAGCTTGCGGGCGGTGCGTTGGATCTTCTGCCTCTGGGCCTCCATGGAGCTCTGCAGGAGCTTGTAGCGGTTCTGCAGGTCCCAGTCGTTGCCCCAGTGCTGATGGATGCTCCCAATGGTCAGGAAGTGGTTGCTGGGGAGACGCTTCATAAACGATTTAAACTCATCTAGTGGGAGACAAAGGCCAGGAGAGAAGGGCTGAGCAAGACAGCCCCAGCTGAGGTGGCTCACCAACCAACAAAGCAGGCCTGCAAATAAAGCTAACTTGCTCGAGGCCCATAAACATGGCGCTGGCCTGCTCCACTCCCAGGAGGGAGTGCAGGGGCCACTGTGCCTCCCATGAAGGGTCTTTGGCTTGGCTGCTATAGGAGTGAACCTGCATCATGTGCAAGAGAGGGCTTTCCAAACTTCTGTCCTCTGAATGCCAGCTGGACAACGATATTCACTATCACTTGGATGGATATTTACTCGGCATCAACTAAACACAATTTTTATCCAGTTCTACGGTGCACAGAAAACCATGACCACATGCCTGCAGTACAATGGGAGCTGTAAAAATAAGTAGGACAAAAACAATGTTAATAAATTCTGGCCCGATACTATTACCTATTACCTGACCAAACTGCTGTACCTGTTCTCACTTTGAAATACAGAGGGAGCAAGGGATGTATAGGTCTTAAGGACATATTTGCACCAACGGAAACATTCTCTTTGATGTATTCTTCAAGTCTGACCGAGAACTGAAATGGATCAACACCCCTCCTGTGTGCCCAGTCTCACGGGAAGTTGTATGTTCATGACGTCTTATGTCATGTCCCATTTTGGAAAACTCCAGCTTAAGAGATGGGGACAAACTCTGGAGTCTCCTGGGGGAAGGTTTCTGCTTCTGTGGTGCTCAGTTTCCGAGTGTCAGCATGTGCTACGACCTGACACGGACTTAGAAATTATCTGGGTCAGCTCTCTCGTTCTGCTTATAGGGAAACCGAAGTGCAAAGTGAGAAATGACTTTCTGAAGGTACAACGACCCGTGAGCGCCAAGAGGCAGGACTGAAACCGGAGCTGCTGTTTTCCGATCTAATTCTCACTGCTCTACCTCGGCCACGTCCCCCTTCAACGAGCGGGGAACTTAAAAGAATTAAGAGGTTAATCATTTCATAGGTGAAAAGGCAAAATGATTAGATTATGCACATAATAAAATGCATATGTACATGTATCTTGAGCCCAATATTTTCACTTTATGTTCTAAAACCTACAGGGAGATTTCAGGTCTATTAGGCATTCATTTTATTTTTTAAAAAATGCTTACAAAGTTCTCAATAAGCCCCAGCTTCAGTCTTAAACACCTAACACAGGAAAACACATATTAGTGATTTTATAGCAAACTGCTGAGGTGGGCGCTTTTAGTACCCCCTTTTCTAGAAACTAGGGCACAGAGAAGTAGATAACTTGCCAAGGTCACACAGCCAGTGATGACAGAACTCTAGACTGGCTCTGACTCGGATGCTCTTACTTAGCATGTTCCGTTTACTCTCAACACAAAAAAAGAAGATCAGTGTGTTGGGAGGAAAAAAAATAAAAGGCGCTGAAAACACACGTACAGGAAAACTGCCTCTGACTCCTTGAGAATTCAGGCACCTCATTACTGACAGGCAGACACGCATATGCCTGCAGACTGCGTCTCACCCACCCAACAGCTGGGCCACCATTAATCTCTTGACGCTTCAGTTTTCCCATCTGTCAGGCAGGTACAATAGCATCTAATTCAAATGTTGAAACAGTGACACAGGACTGTCTCTGCCTACATAGTTCCCGAAATGCAGAAAGTGCTCAATGGACGGTAGCAGGAGGTTGAGAGGATGACACAGGGCTGCATGACGGGACGGGGGCATTCAGTGAGCAGGCCGCTGGCAGGGCGCCGGCCCCGACTCTGCGGCTCGGGCCAGGCCAGCGCTGCTCCTGTGGGACGACCACATGCATGCAGACGGCTCCGCTGACTTTGGAGGTCACAGCCCTTCCCATGAACCCGAATTCGGGTCAGATAAGAAAACATAATTTAAAAGTTAAAGTGATTTATTGAGTTGGCCAAAAATGTCCATTTGTTTTTTTTTTCCCGTAAGATGGCTCTAGTCGCACTTAGTTGTCTTTAACTTCATTTTAAACAACTTTGTTAGAGTGTATTGTGACAGCTGTATTATCAGCACACATTTAAAAAATACTTAATCAAAACTGGTGAATTTTTGTGTAGTCACTTTGATATCGAGGATGGAAGAAAATACACAACATTTCTGGCATATTATGCTTTATTAATTTAAGAAAAGTAAAAATGCAACTGAAACACAAAGAAAGATTTGTGCAGTGTATTGAGAAGGTGCCATGACCAATCAAATGTGTCAGAAGTGGTTTTGCAAAGGTTCATGCTGGAGATTTCTCTCTGGACGATGCTCCACGGTTGGTTAGACCAGCTGAAGTTGATAGCAATCAAATCAAGACATTAATTGAGAACAATCAATGTTCTACCATGTGGGAGATAGCCGACATACTCAAAATATCTAAATCAATAAAGTTATTGGTGAAAATGAAAAAATGTGTCTTTTGTTTTATGGAAAAAACTAAACAGGCTTTTTGGCCAAACCAATACTTTCTTGACTAAAAGCGGAAGGGACCTTTCCCAATAAGGACAAGCAGACCCCCATTTGTGCATGTGAACTTGGTCCTATTTGACCACCAAACTGTGGAGCCACCAAAGAATCTATGGCTTCTACCTTTAGCTGGTCATAAATCCCTCCAAATTACCTGGTACTGAAATAAGACGGAGGAAAGTGCACATGCACAAACCACAAAGACGCGTATGGATGGACGGATTTGTCTTAATGGGTAAAAACATGTCAAATGGATAAGTACATGGTATCTAAAGTAAATGTGTGCTCCTCTGGGGAGAAATCATGGTGCCAATAATTTCCATGGACTATTGAGCTTACTCTGTGAAATCTCAGCACATCAGCATCCCACCCACCCACTCAAAGCAGTCATTTCTTTGGGAATAAGGACCACATGCTCAAGACCCTTATTGCTCATGTGCATGGCTTGCATTCTTTTCTGCTTTTTAGCAATGGGGAGAATCTCTTTGCAAAAGCATTTCATCAAACGCTTCTTTTGTTTGAGGCCAGATAATCATCACAATACATTTCCATTCAGAACCTCTCGCTTTTATGCATTCCTAGGATTTTAAATGGACTAATGGGTGCAGATTCTTAAGGCATCCACGGCTCCATTGGAGCTGCATGACCTTTTAAGAGCAGAAATCACTGATGCATCGTGTGCGCTCAGAGCTGGTTGGGGACTTGGAGTTCATGGAAACCAGTGGTTTTCAAATACAGCTCCACAGAGCTCAGCTTTTATCTCTGGTACACAGTAGCTCCAAGGTATGATTTTGTTTGATCAAAGGGGTTTTTGGCTACATATTTGAATAAATTCAAAAATTAAACACATAAACATGTCCTCTCATTTATCAGATGAGGGAACTGAGGACTGGGGGGTAAAGTGGAATTAATAAGGTACAAAAGCTGCTGGGAGCACGGGGTCCGGAATCAGGGATTCCATTACCGACTCCATCATTTACTGTGTAACCCTGGGGGAGACACTGGGTCTTGGCGGCCTCCCTCCTCTGCAACACAGCAACATTGTTCCTTACTCTAATGCAGTTCTTGTAATAGATTTAAGGAATATAGAGTTGTTTTTAAAACACTAATGCTCTCTCTATATGTCCATTTATTTAACAGATATCCGAGCACATACTTTATGCCACTATTTGGCATCTCTTCACAGGAGTCTCAAGGATTCCCAAGCTTTTCGTGTCCAAGCTGAACACAGTTTTCTTTCCAAACCGTGCAGGGTGTTCTAGATCTGTGAATGGTACCCACATCCATCACAGTGTCTGACAAACATGCCTAAAAGGAGTTCTTGGATCTCATCTCACTCTTCCTTTCTCAAGTCCTGCTAGTTCTCCCTTGTAATGAGCTCAGCACCACTGCACGCTTCCCGCTTTGGGCTCCCTTTGCCATTGCCCTAACCTACATCATGGGGCATCTCTCTCGTTGGCGCCTGGGGATGGCCTCCGGCCGGTTGGCTTGCACTCATCCTCTGATCTCTGCACCACAGTCAGACACACAGACTCTGCTCTTCCTGAGGGTGTCCTTCCTCCCTGACCCTCCTGACCACATCAACCTCCAGGTCTACGTGATGCGCTCACACGTAGCTTCCCGTTCTACAGATATGATTAAAGTATCAATTATCTGCGTGGTTACATGAGTAATGCCTGGTGTTCCCATTAACTAGAAGCTGCAGGAAGGCTGAGATCCACGTGGCCTTAGGTGACAGACTTTCTTCCTCTGAGCCATGAAAAGCAGGAAATAGCTAAGTGACCTGAGCAGTGACTTCTAGCTTTGACAGTCTGTTGACTTCTTTGGGTATCTATATGAACATTGACATATATATGTATATATACATATGTGTATTTACCTATATGTGTGTGTGTTGATTTAGAGAGACCGACAGACTTGGGAAATAATACAAATATGTTTAACTCTCCATTCCCCAGAGGCTTCCAGACAATACATCCCAGGACCACACTGCTGATTACACTGTTCATTATCTCACTCAGTGGAGATTTATTGAGTGCCCTGCCCCATGACAGCTACTAGACCTTGCTGTGGACCCTCCAAAGTGAAAAGGGGGGCAGGGGAAGGGTGTCAGTCACTGTTCCCGCACAGCAGCCTAACCCCAGTCAGACAGTTTCCTCTTCCAGACTTGGCTCAGGGCCATTCACGCAGCAGGAACACGCCAGGCCCCCTACCTGAATTCTCCAGGTCCTTGTAAGCTTCGGCCCAAGACTTGGCCATGTTGGCCAGCGTGTACTCCATGATCTGGATGTCGGTGATGGGGCAGTTGCACTGGGGGAACTCCTCCGCACACTGGCATCGGCACTGGCTGTTCTGGCACACGTACTCGCCCTCGCCGTTGCACATGATGTAGCTCAGGGCCGACTGGACAAACTTCTCTTGCAGGTACTGAGGGAAGATGATCTGCAGACCTGTTGGAGAATAGCAAGATGAAGAAACAGAGGGGTTTAAGAAGGTGTTTCATTAACAGCTTCAAAAGGTGATGGGTAGGAATGGGAAACTGCTAGCTTTCTCCCTGTGTACTGTAACCAGAATATCTCGGAGCCTGCCTACATCCAGACAGGTCATAATTGGTGAAGCCTCTGGGTGCATTGCTTCTACTTCAACTTCTCAGGTCCCGACCCTAGCCATCTCTGAAATGCATACTCCGTACTGTTACACTAAGACTGAGGTCTGGTATATATCTTTTCTATTTTGGGAGAAAATCCTTATTGGAAAGCACAAGATTATTGTTTATTTTTTCTTATTTCCTTCATTTCTTTCCTGTTCCTTTCTTCAAATATTTATGAACCCTATTTATGAAGCTCAAGTCCTGAGCTAGGCACTAGGTCTACAGAGATAAAAAAAGGAGATAAAAAAAGACACGCTCGCAGCCCTTGGGGAGTTTGCAATGTAATCAGCAGGGATAGACATAGACACACATCATCATAACACAGCTTTATAGACCCGAAGCAGAGACGGCCCTGGGAGGCAACGGGCAGCCGAAGACTGCAAATAACACGGCTTGGAGAGCAGAGAAACCTTTGCAGAGGAGATGGTGTTTGGGCTGGTTGAAAAGTAAATAAGAAATCACCCTGTAAAAGGAACAGGAAGAATATTCTGAAGAGAGGAACAGCAAGAACAAAGACATAATGTATCTGTGAATGCAATGAACTTGGATGGGTGGGGATGCCTTCTGCAGGAAAACAGGTATCAGAAAGGAGCAGATGCCAGAGTGCAAAGAGCTTAGTTCTAAGGAATTTGAACTTCATTCTGTGGATAATGGGGATACTTTGGCAAATTTCAAGGGTAAGAATGAAATGTCAAGAGCGATATAATTTCATGAGACCACTGTATCATAAAAAATAAAATATTAGTGGAAAATGGTATCAGAGAGAATTTTCTTTCTTTCTTTCTTTCTTTTGCTTTAAACATGAAGAAGCCAGGGCCCACTGAGGGAAGGTGACTAGCCAGTTGTTGATTATGAGTACTTGTTACCACATCTTATGATCTTTTCTCTGTACTTGAACTTATCAAAGCCTTAATCCTCAGAGCCAATGATGGAGAAGGGTTTATCTGGGCATGATAAAACCTCCTGTGCCCTTGAAATGTCAGCATAGCCTCTGGTGCCCAGACAGTAAGACAACTCTGAGTTAAATTAGTTCATTAATGTACTTTCACCTGGGACATTTCTCTCTACTTCATTTGGAGCTGCTAACAGTTTTAGCCACCAATGCGTACGAGCGTAATGGTTTTACTACCCACCGTGCAAAAGAGGACTGTTGTTTGGATTAATTTTTTTTTATCATTCATGCTTCAGGGACATTCCCTACCCTACTCATTGGGGATTTGCTGAATAAACTCAGCACTTCTCTCACTATCTACTTCACATTTGTGTTTCTAGATTTTTATCTTTCCTTTTCTTGCCTTCAAATTATTTTTAAAAAACACAGTTCCATCATTTCAACTTGTGTTCAGACGGCATCTCAAACAGACTACTGGAGAGATGCATTGTGGCAATGAAGCTGAGGCCTCCAGCATGCCGTATGGTTGGAAACCACAATAAGGTAGCTCCAGCATGCCGTATGGTTGGAACCTGCTGGAGTCAGGTTCCTCCCTCACTATGTGAGTCATCTCAAACAAGTTATCCTACCTTTCTAAGGCTCCATTTTCTTTTCTATAACATGAAAATACTTTTAGCGCCTACATCAGAAGGTTGTTGGGAGGACTAAGTACAAGAATTTCTGCAAAATGTCTAGAACAGTTCCTGGCACATAGCAAGTAAATGTTAATTATCCCTTTTGTTGATGACGATGTGATAATGGTACTCCTCTGATGAAAGTTTTTGAAAGTTTCAACAGAATCTTCAGAATGCATGAACAATAGCTGTGGGTATTTAATCAGAAGAAAATGACACTCAGAAGGCAGTCTTTAGATATTTGGAGAGACTTCACAAGAAGCAGGGTTTCGCATTCTAGGCCTGTTGAACCAGCAGTGGTGGGAGGGGCTATTCAGGAAGGCATATCCTACGTGAACGTGCGTGGAAGGCGTTCTACCATATAGAGCTGCACAGCTTGGGCAGGGGGCCTCTGGGAGCCTGGGTGAGGCCCACACCGATGAGCACGGGTCCACGTGAGTTTGAGGGACTGCCCGGAAGGGCTTGCTGTACGGGGATATAATACAAATTCCAAAAGGTGGGCAAAACAAGTCAAATCAAGCAGAAAAGTTTCTTCTAAACGAAGTCTACAATTCTTTCCGAGTATGCATTATTGAGTCATTTTATCTGTATCAGAATTTTCACTTCTGAAGCAAAATTTATTTTTAGCTGATCCCTATCCCCTATAGGCATCCGAGTCTATGGATTGGGGTTGAGTTTCTGTTGCTTAAAGGAATTCTATAGACTATACCCGCAGTCCTATTTTTCTAGCTTGCTCATCATTTTCTTTCTCCCTTTGTAGGGGATAAAATATTCTATTCTTGGTCCCAGCCCAAAAGGAATTTGGGGAGAGCATTTTTAGAAAATTGCGTCAAACCATGTCTCTGTTTGGCAAGGATACAAAAGGCAATATTACCTACCCCATTTAATGCAATGGAAAACAGATGAAGTTTGGGGTTGGGGGGCTTGTGGGAGAAGCTGAAACGCAAAACTGACTGCTCTTTAAAAATGGAAACTCAGAACACGTGAGCTGTCTCTGAGGCTGAATCTCCTGGGCAAATTTGAAAGAGAATAATGAAGACATAGCAATTAAAAAGCACTTTTCTGCAAAATGTCATTACTGTTTTAAAGTTACATAACCATTTCTACAGCAGCGGAGGTTCACAGAGCAGTCACCGCCAGAGCCGTCTCCTGATGACCTGCGTCCAACAAAGGGGCCCATTGCTGACCTCCTAGATGGGCGCCTGAATCCGGCGGGCTTCAATGGGAGTCGTAAATAATTTGGAGGGGGATTTGGCCTCTGGAACCACCGCTTGAAAGATATACAGCTGCTGGCTAGGTTGGAATATTCTGTCCCCATGGTTCCCAAAGACACACACGCACACACACACACACCACAGAGAAAGAGAAAGGAAAACTGAGAAAATGAGGGAGAAAGAGAGAGAAAAAGGCCACCCTTCTTGCCAAGCATATAAATTTTGCTTCACAAAACCCAGGAAGGCAATAGTTGAGAGTTGCATTTGAACACCAATTCACCCACGCTAAACATATGGAATATTTCCCCCTCAATCTCATTATACTTTGGGGGGAAAAAATCTTGTTATACTTTAAAATGGAATGTTTCGGTGTTCCGCAGAGCGAGTGGGCAATGGAGATGCGGGAACACCCACGTCGCCTTCTCTTTTCCTGCGTTTGTCCCACCCTCCTCAGTCCTTCCTCCCACCTCACGTTCAACACATACACCTCACCATGTTCTCTGTATTTTCCACAGCCTGAAATATGATTTCTTCTTCCCTCTGGCACACAGTGAACTAGCTCTGTTTTCTGGCCTCCCTCCTTCCTCTCATCTCCTAACATTCTCTTCTTTATTCAGAACACACCAGGCATCCTGTCCTTTTCCAGTCCCTGCGTGTGCCAGTCATATCCTCTCAACAGTCTCTGCACTTGTCCTTCCCCGAGCCTAGAATATTCTTTTTCCCAGGCTCTGCCTTCTGTGTTGTCCTGCATTCCAGCCTTCCCAGACCACCCATGTTAACATGCCTCTCTATCTTCTTCATAGGATTCGTTACTCACTGAAATTATCTTATTAATTTGCTTTCATGTTTATTTTTCCATCTCCCCCATCAGAGGGTGAGCATTAGGGAGCAGGGCCTTGCCTTTCCATTATGGGCCTGAGAGTAAATTCAACCCAGTGTAAGGTACATGAACTCATTTGTCGAATGAAAAAAAAAAAAACCTATTATATGTTTTTTTTAAAGATTTTATTTATTTATTTTTAGAGAGGGAAGGGAGGGGAGGGAGAGAGAGAGAGAGAAACATCAATGTGTGGTTGCTGGGGACCGTGGCCTGCAACCCAGGCATGTGCCCTGACTGGGAATCGAACCTGTGATGCTTTGGTTTGCAGCCTGCGCTCAATCTACTGAGTTACGCCAGCCAGGGCTATTATATGTATAACCCAACAGAAAAACAAGTTGTCCCATTAGATTTAGAAGATGTTAGAACTGAAAAGTTAGCTGGTCTTCCCGAAGCCCCACAGCTAAAGTAACAGACCCAGAACCCAAAGCTAGGAATTCCAGCTGAGTCCTGGAACACCGGGGAGTCCTCCCACCTCTCCAGCGGGCAAGTGTGAAAACTGAGACAAAATCCTGGCTTAGTGTTCCTGCAGTTGCTCTGGTGCAGAGTGGCCTTCTGGGAGTGTTGTAGACTCTCTAAACTCAGGTTTCTTGCCTGTGAAGTTAAAACCCCAATAACCATCTTCCAGGGCTGTTATGAGGAGTAACTGAGACTGAGAAAAGGCATAAACACCACTTAAACAAGAGCCTGGTTGTCCTGGGCTGAATGTGTGCCCCCCCACAAACTCATTATGTTGAAACCCTACCCCCCAGTATTAGGAGGTGGGGCCATGGGGAGTTGATTAGTTCATGAGGGTGGGGCCTCCCTGATAGGATCAGTGCCTTTACAAGAAGAGGAAGGGACAAGCTCTCTCCCTCCCTCTCTTCTTCCCTTCTTCCTTCTTTGCATCTTTCCTTTTTTTCATCTCTCTTTCCTTCTTTCCACACATATTGCCTAAACCCTAGTATGTGCCAGGTGCCCCGGCCATGGATACCAGGGTGAATGAGGCAGGCAGCTCCCTGCCTTTGCAGGCCTCACAGTGTAGGAAGGAGTCAGATGTATAACTCACCAAGCCACTTGGATGCAGTGAGAACAGTGCTCTACTAGAAGCACAAGGTTGCTGGGGGAACCAGAGGAAGAACAGCTAACCTAGAATAGCATGGG